TCATCCTAATAGTGGCTAGTGTGAAGTGATATCTCATTGTGATTTTGATTTGCATTTTTCTGATGATTAGTGATGTTGAACACCTTTTCATGTACTTGTTGGTCATTTGTTTGTCATCTTTGGAAAAATGTCTATTCAGTTCCTCTGTCCTTTTTTTGATCACATTGTTTTTTGCTACTGCATTGTTATGAGTTCTTTATGAATTTTGGATTTAACCCTTTATCAGATATATGATTGGTAAATATTTTCTCCCATTCCCTAGGTTGCCTTTTAATCCATTTTTGTTGATGGTTTCCTTTGCAGAAGCTTTTTAATTTGATGTAGTCCCACTTGTTTATTTTTCCTTTTGTTGCCTTTGCTTTTGATGTCAAATCCAAAAAAACTATTGCCCAAACTGAAGTCAAGGAGCTTAGCCTTGGGGCTGGCCTGGTGGAGTAGCAGTTAAGTTCACAAGTTCTGCTTCTCAGCGGCCCAGGGTTTGCCGGTTCGGATCCCGGGTGCGGACATGGTACCACTTGGCAAAAGCCATGCTGTGGTAGGTGTCCCACGTATAAAGTAGAGGAAGATGGGCATGGATATTAGCTCAGGGCCACTCTTCCTCAGCAAAAAGAGGAGGATTGGCAGTAGTTAGCTCAGGGCTAATCTTTCTCAAAAAAAAAAAAAAAAAAAAAGCTTCTATGTTTACTTCTAGTTTTATGGTGTTAGGTCTTATGTTCAAGTTTTCAATCCATTTTGAGTTGATTTCTGTGTATGGTGTAAAATAAGGTCCAATTTCATTCTTTTGCATGTGGCTGTCCAGTTTTCCCAGCACCATTTATTGAAGAGACTGTCCTTTCCCCATTCTGTATTACTGGCTCCTTTGTTGTACATTGATTGACCATATGAGTGGGTTTATTTCTGGGCTCTCTATTCTGTTCCATTGATCTATGTGTCTGTTTTTATGCCACTATCATACTGGTTTTGATGACTATAGCTTTGTGAGATAGTTTGAAATCAGGGAGTGTGATGCCTCCAGCTTTCTTCTTCTTTTTCAAGATTGCTTTGGCTATTCAGGGTCTTTTGTGGTTCCATATAAATTTTAGGATTCTCTTTCTGTGAAAAACGCCACTGGAATTTTGAAAGGGATTGCACTGAATCTGTAGATTGCTTTACATAGTATGGACATTTTAACAATATTAATTCTTCCAATCCATGAGCATGGAATTATCTTTCATTTGAGTTTCTTCAATTTCTTTCATGAATGTCTTATAGTTTTCAGTATACAGATCTTTCACCTCCTTGGTAAAACTTATTCCTAGGTATTTAATTCTTTTTGATCCAATTACAAATGGAATTGTCTTAATTTCTCTTTCTGATGGTTCATTAGTGTATAGAAATTCAACTAATTTTTGTATATTAATTTTGTATCCTGCCACTTTACTGAATTCGTTTATTCTAAGTTTTTTGGTGACGTTTTCTGTAATTCATGTCATCTGCAAATAGTTTTATTTCTTCCTTTCCAATTTGAATGCTTTTATTTCTTTTTCTTGCCTAACTGCTCTGGCTAGGACTTCCAGTACTATGTTGAATAAAAGTGGCAAGAGTGGGCATCCTTGTCTTGTTCCTGATCTTAGAGGAAAAGCTTTCAGCTTTACTCTGTTTAGTATGATGTTAGCTGTGGGCTTGTCCTATATGGCCTTTATTATGATGAGGTAGATTCCCTCTCTACCCAGCTGCTTCCACATTTTTAGATTTGTTCCAGCAGCACCTCACCCCGGTCGTTTTTTTCTTAGTTCATTTGGGCTGCCCTAACAAAATACCACTGGCTATTTGGGGTAGCTTATAAACAACAGGAGTTTATTTCTCACAGTTCTGGAGGCTGGAAGTCTGAGGTTAGGGTGCCAGCACCGTCAGGTGAGGACTCTCTTCTGAGTTGCAGATTTCTCGCCGTGTTGTCACATAATGGAAAAGGGAAGGGATCTCTGGACCCTCTTTTATAAGGCACTAATCCTATTCATGAGGGCTCCACCCTCATGACTTAAGCACCTCCCAAAGGCCCCCCCTCTTCTAATAGCATCACCTGTGGGGTTTAGGATTTCAAAATATCAACTTTAGGGGTGGGGGACACGACACAAACATTCAGACTATAGCACTTCTCAATGATGCTTTTGCCTAGTGTCCACGTAACTCAGTGCCTAGAGACAATCTCTAGATCCTGCTCTCATGGGGGGAAGGTACTCCTGAGTGATGAAGGTCCCCTATCTTGTCAGCTTAAGAAGGGGCAGGGCATGAAAAAACCTGACACATATTGAGAATTTGCTACTAATGCTTACCACTTGGTTCATGTTAACTAATTTAAGGTAACTTTTCAAAAAGCCCCTTTGAGGTCCTTGTTATTATCCACATTTCACAAATTGAGGAGGCAGGAATTTCTCCAAGGACAGGAGTGAAGGACCAGATATTTGAACCCAGGCTTATTCCAAAGCCTATGTTCTTTAAGTGGCTATGAAAGTACCTGTCAATATGGGCAAAAATACTCTATTAGCTTTTCCCTAATCCAGGGCCTGCACATCTTTCTGTCTTTCCTTACCCTGTCTTTCCTGCTCGTTCCAGACGGCCAGTCATAGAATCAGACTGTTTGGGATTAGGCCCATCATTCAGCCCCCTCTGAGCTACGGTCTGTCTCCTCTCCTTACAGTTTCTAACAGGCTGAGCCAACTGGGTGGTCCCAAGTCCTCTCAGAGCTGAGGCTCTGTTATCATTTCACCCTTCAACCAACCACAGGGAATCCCATGTTTTGGAAGATTTTGCTTACTGAAATACTGCATTTATGAAGATGTCCTGTTCCCATTATTTATTATTAACTGCTCCTTGGAGCTTCTGGCCAGCACAAAGTAGCCAGTACTATTTCCGAGTTGGTAAAGCCCTTAGTCATCAGGAAAACAACATGAGCCATTGCCGCCTGATTGAGGAACGTGCAGGATTTCTGGACTGTTGAGAATAGCTGGCACTCACCCATTATTATTTCTATTCCTCCTGGGGTGGCCTGGGCTTACCATCCTGGGTGACCCTCCAGCTTGGGGACACACACACATGGAGATTTCTTGGCACCCAAGGCTGTGCTCTTTTTACGCAATTAGGCTACTTTCTAAACTTTTACACCAAGTCTTTCCATGCCCTCAAATCATCAAAGGTGTCCCACTCTTTCCAGGACATACCTTGTTCCCTGGCCCAGCACTTTAAGATCTTCGCAATCTGTCGCCCACTTGCTTTTTCAGATTTCATTATCCATCCTCGCCCAAATGATTGCTGTGCTCCTCTTCAACAGTCCTAGTTGAATAACTTTGCAAATGCCGGTGCCCGACTTGGGATACTGTTTTACTCTCCCGGCTGGAAGCCTCTCTCTGCCAGTAGGCTTCAGCCCTTAACTGTCTGCACTACTCCTGTGGCCCTTGGCACTTTCTGCCTCATCGTGTGGATCAGGGCAGGCCCGGATTTTACCCTTCTTGTGCCCAGGCTTACGAGCCAGCATCTGAATGAAGGTTTTGAGCTCAACGCCTCTCCAGGCCTCTCACCACAGCCTGGCACAGAGCCTCGCACATGGGAAGGGTCCTCCCTGTGATGGTCAGGAGGCACTTGCACGGGTCCCTGTGTTCTTGTTTTTCAGTTGGGGAAATATAGGTGGGCTCAGGACTAGAACACAGAACCCTCACTGTTCAATCTTTTCCTTATTACCCCAAAGTAATACCAATGGAAGTTTTAAATTTTCTTTTTTAAAAAGACTGATGGGGGCTGGCCCCGTGGCCAAATAGTTAAAGTTCTGGGCGTTCCGCCTCAGCGGCCCAGGTTCATGCGTTCGGATCCCGGTGCAGACCTACTCCACTTGTCAGCCATGCTGTGGAGGCATCCCACATAGAAAATAGAGGAAAGACTGGCACAGGTGTTAGCTCAGAGCTTATCTTCCTCACACATACACACACAAAAGACTAATGAAGGAAATATCACTCCTCAACAGATGAAAGCACTGTACCTATCAGGTAAGTTCCCAGAGGCAGCAGCAGAATCTTTCCCCACTCATCCTGTCAACCTTCCCTGGAACCACCAGCAGGTGGTGGCTGAGAGGAGGGACAGCTTCACGTTCACGTCTTGGGGTCTGGCTCTCATCTGCCTCCTTAGGGAGAAGGGAAGAAGGCCCAAGGCCTCTATGCCGACCAGGACTCCTTGCCCATGGAGTGCAACAGCTAGAGGCAAAGCATAGCAATTTTCCCCCTGGATCCTGAATCTCCCTTCTTGTTCTACTTTCTAGAACATCTAGCTTAGGATTCAAACTGATATATATATCAAATATATATATATATATTTTTTAATTAACATTTTATTGCATTTTGAAAAAGCCACCCTTTGCTACCATCCCAAAGAGAGAGAGAGAGAGAGACAGCCCTGAGTTTAACAATCAGCAAAGGCTGGTGCTCCCCTTCCTCCTCTGTTGCAGCCTCTACCTCTCTTCGGCCGTGTTTAGGGAATGGTATTTGTTCCTGCTTCAACTACATGGATTCAGAGAGAAACTGAGGCAGAGGGTTAAGGGGACACAATCATGAGTTTCCTGTCCCTACTGCCTTTTTGTGCCCAACGTTAGCCTTCAAAATCCATTAAGTAGCTAAACTATTAAGAGGACCTAAAATCTCTCCATAAAAGTGGCCTGAGATAATTCCTGAAAATGGCTCACTATTCACTTGACCCAGAAAACCCCACAAAATCATGCAAACCAAGAGGTTCAAATCTTTATGTCGACTTTAAGTACACCCACGAAACTGCCCAGGCCATCAAGGGTCTGCGTATCTGAAAAGCCGCTGAATCTCTGAACGTTGTCACTGCAGAAGCAATGCAGGCCATTCTGTCCTTACAGTGGCTCTCCTTTCAGCAGAGGAGCTGGGGCTCCCTCCCCACTGCTGAACGCTCCCCTGCTCAGAGTGGGACAAGCATGAGGTGGCTGGGTATGGACTGAAATGATAAACAGTGACTCTTCTACAAATGTGGAGGTTTATTTCAACAAAATGTGAAAAGAATACATTTGACTGAAGCTCCTTGCTCATCAGGGTATGTGTCCATCGACTTCTCAATGAGACAAGTGAAGGCTGCTTTGTGAACAAAGTAGACAGACAATATGGCAATCTCAGCTCAAGCAAGTCTTGGTCAATACATCATTTATACTCCTCCTGCCTCAGTAACCTTGCATGTGTAATGGGCTGTGGGAATATCAGATCACTCATGTTCTGTGGCTCTATCTGACTTCCCCACATGAAAAGTCCCTGTCCCGGGTAAGACCTAAAGTCAAGTGCGCCAGGGATAGGGGAGTAGGCATTACAGGGTTGTAGAGAGGAAATGTATTCATTTAATGTGTCATAATTTGGCAGAGGGGAGAAGTAAAATGAGTATAACCTGCCCTGCCTCTGAAGAAAGGCCAGGGCGAGCACAGGATAGGACAGGCCAACTGGGGAGGGAGTGCATGACTTCATTCCATAACCTGTAGGTGTGTGTAGTTTTATTTACTGCAGAAAAGTATAGAGGAATAATCGGTCAAAGAGGAATCCAATTCTTACTTACTGGGTAAGGAGATACCAGGAGCAACAGATGCTTCCTCCTGGACTGAATTGCTCCCCACCTTTCCCTGCCCTTCTTTGATGGTGCCAGACACCTGCAGCAGGGCAGCCTGGCTGGGCTCTGAGTTCCTGGGGGCAGCCAGCGATGAGGCAGCCACAGTGCCGATCTACACAGCTCCCGAAGAAAGGGGAGGTGCAGCTCTTTCTTGTGTGTGAACTATAGGGTTAAGGCTCAAAACTGTAGCTTGTACAAAAGTGTGCATACCACTGCTTTTAAAACATCTTAGTGATTTCCTCCTTGGTCACCAGTGACAAATGCAATTAGCTGCACCGTAGGAACTGAATGCTCCACCAGCCCTGATCACCTGCCACTCTTGCTTTAGGAATACCAACAGGGGAATCAGTAAGCTCTTTCCTTGAATAAACTGGTTGTTGAAAATAAACAAACTCTTTCCACCACCCGTGAAGAGGCCCCCGCTGCTGGCCAGGAAAGGACCAGTGAGCCTGGAAGACAGCAGCACCATGACGGAGTTGTAGATAATCTTAAGGTCACGTGGAGTCTGTGTTCCCTGGGAGCCTCCCCACGCTGGAGAAGGCCAGTTTCTGGTGCCGAGAGCATAGATGTCACCAGGGTTCCTCTCAGCAGCTGTAGGGAGACCTGCTGCCCCTGTAGCCTGTGTACATTCCAGGAAGAGATAGGACCCGAAGGGAGTAGGAGTGTCAGCAACTGGGAGAGTTGCCTTGGAAATAGAGACGAGTGACTCGGTAGGCACTATTCCCCTTTGTAACTATCAAAGCTCCAGGCTTAATAGTAACAAATTTCTAAGTTCTAAAAAGAGAGACTATCTGGCCCACTCTCCCTGTGGGATCAATGACAGAAAAGGCAATTCCACCTGGTTCCTCCTCTGCCAACTCAGGCTGCAGCACTGCCTTGGGGCCCCTGGAGGAAGGCTCTCATGCTCTGGCTTTACAGCTCCCGCCAGGTGTAACAGGTAGTTGAGCAGTGACATGCAGGGTAGTGGCAGGTCAACCGTCTTTCTATTTGTTCCAAGAGAACTGAGCCCAAGGTCGAGGCCCCCAAAATCCACAACAGTGACTTAGTCTATTTGCTTTCTCTGCTTCTCGGATTATGGTTTTGCCCTCATCTTTGAGTTCCCATGGACCTTGCAGATTTCATGCTCTAATTTTTCTTCATAAACAGGTACCTTGGTGTGACTGGGCTGGGAACGATTCCTCTTCCAGCGCTTAGCATGTGCTGGGCTGAACGTGAGGGTAAAGAAACAACGGAACGAACCCGAGGCTTCTCCCTCTCCCCAGACCTGGTGCTGGGCCTATGGCCTCAGCCCCAGCCCTCCTCTGCTACCTGTGGCTGCAGGCTCATGGGGCCAGGAATGAGGGAAGGCTGGGACCAAGGAGTTGTCAGGACAGGAGGCGCAGCCCTGCTTTTGTGTAAGACCTCATGGTACGTGCTGTACCCTTCATTGCCTTCGCAGGTCCTGTGCAGGGAGAGAGAACCTGCTGTCACAGCCAGGGTAATAAATACTGAATGGGACAGGTGTGACCAGAGGGCTGGAGTAGGGGCTTGTGACCCTGTATCCTAGGATGTCATGCATAACCTGAAAACATTCAAGGGGAAGCAAAATGCCTCTTTGATCCCAGTGCTGGGCCTCCTGTGCCTTCTCATGACAGTGGTTTCTGTTGTGAAAGGCAGCTCTAGCCCTTTTCTCCAGAGGCAGGGCAGGGATGGGCAGGAAGCTCTTCCTACGTCGAAGGGGAGTCCATCGTGGAGAGGATCCGTACAACTTCTGCTCTCTGAGTGGGTGAGATGTGCTGGGTCATATGGATGATCGAATCCATGGCAACCTCTGGATTGGCCTGTACCAAGCTGGAGAGGAAGATTTGGGATGGTGAAAAAAGAGAGGTGGCAGTATCTAGATCAGGGTAACTTGAGAACTGCCCAATCAACATGCTGACAGAGTCCCCTGCAGACACTTCAACCACCGCCTCACCTGACTTGTTTTCCTACATGAAAAATATCCCCAGCAGCAAGGCAGGCACAAGATGAACCTGAAACATTTTGCTATGTCAGAAAGTAAGGAAGTATTTCAAAAACAAAAAACAAAACCAGTGGGGGCATGTCACAAAGATAGTGGACCCAGCATGGAGGTGCTCACACCGGCTAAATCTGGGATATGTTGGGCATCAAAATAAGTCTAATAATGAATTACAAATCACTGAAATAGAAATTCATTAGTGTACACCAATAATGAATATACAAATGAATGGAGGAGGAAAGAGGACCTGTGCTTACAGAACTGGAGTGGTGACTGGTGATTGTGGAGGGCGTGCTAGAGTTGGAAAGTTATCATTTCGCAACCTCACTGTAAAGACTGGCTCAGGCAAGAATCATCAATGGATGCCAAATCTAGGCAGAAATTCTAATAAGGCAGGATGTTTGCATGGCCTCAAACTATCTCCCCAGAGACTGCTTATCAGGCGAATCAGTAATTATACAGTGGAGAAATCAAGTAACACCTTGACCAGGTGAACAAAACTAACATCAGGAGGGGCAGATGACATTGTGGGTCTTCAGATGTGGTACTGTGAAGACCCCATCATCACATATGCTAATATTCTGCTGAGAATGTACAACCTGAATCTAATCATGAGGAAGCATCAAAGTCAAAATGAGCAATGTTCTACAAAAGGTGGGTTAGATAAAAAGTTTCCACGAATGCTAAATTTACTAAAATTGATCATTTTATTGTGGTTATGTAAGAGAATATCTCTATTAGCAAATGCACACTGAAGTATTTGGGGGTAAAGGGCCATGATATATATAACTTATCCTTAAGTGGTTGAGAAAAAGGAAAACATATATATACACACACACACAGAACAAACAAACACAAATAAGCAAATGGGGTGAAATGTGAGTAACACATACATCTGGGTACAGATTTGTTCTTTGTACCCTTTTTAGTTTTGCAACTTTTCTATAAGTGAAACGTTTCCATAAAATGTTTTTGAAAATGTCCCCAGCAGTCTCCACGACCCATCCTATGGAGAAGACTAAAGACTAGAACACAGCCGACTCTCGGCTGGGGGAGAGGAGGCAGTTTCCCAGAAACTACCTTGGATCGGCTTTCCTCTCAGAAAGGTTCATCCAGTTTGAGTACCTGCATTTGGAACTAACAGTTGGGCACAAAGCACTAAGCCTTTGTCCAGCAGAGATTATTAAGTGCCCCTGGGGACCAGGAGCTGAGGAGGAATGGGACTTCAGGGCTCGATTTTATCTGTGGGTCAATTACAGCATCTCAAACAAAGAGACCACAAAGATCGTAAGGCCTCAGCATCCCACTATTTGTTCTTAAATCTTCCATTCCAAAGAAGTGAGCCCCACTTCTCCTACAGAGGAGCTCCCCCTGCGGGTCTCACCTGCGGATCTGCTTGAGGACATAGTCTCTGCTGATATATTTGATGTTTTCCTCTATTACTGAGCGAACACCATCTTCCTCTGTTAGCTGTTTCTCCAGCCACTCCACCAGATCCTTGTTATTGTCCCAAACGTAGGCCTGTGAACAGATGACTCCTGGTCAAACACCGATTATTCACTATCTGGAAAATTCACTCTAAAAGCTGCTCAATGCAAAAAAGTTGTTCACAATTCTGTTTGGAGGAGGAGGAGGAAATAGGCCTCAAGGCAGGAGCTGTCCTCTTCTCCCTTTCCTCCTTTCCATGCATATTCGAAGCGTCCAGTTGGGTCCTCCCTCCAGAGGCATCAGTGCTCACACTCTGACTCTGGTCCTGTCCCTCTATGTCCCTACTTATTCCACAAAGGCTAAGAGAATTTAATCACCAGACAGATTTGAAAGAAATAGTTAAAAGCCCAAACTGTGTAGTCAAGTGCTGATTGAGAGAGAAAGGTTGTTTATTAGGCGGTTTAAAAATGAAGTGTGTGCTTTCTGAGGAACTGAGACACAACAACTAAAATGTAAGTCTCTAGCCCCAGCCAGGCCTGGCAGATGAGCTGCCTGGCAGCGGAAGTCTCCTGAGAAGGAGCCACAGTCTCTCAACAAGGCACAGAGGGGGACTGACGTGAGGGAAGTCTTGCCGCTAGGGGAGAGCCACCGGGTCAGAAACCTACCCCCCATTTTACTTTCTATGAGAGTATTCCAAAGGGTCAAGACGTCTATAACCCTGAAAGTCTCAACAAACCACCTCTTGCCTCCTTTTTTTCAAGATCATTTAGCTGAGTATTTCCTGGGTAGTTGACTACATAATAATTCAGGAGTGTGTTAGAAACCTAATAGCCTTCTCCTTGCTCTCTTCTCTCATTTTCTTTACAAATCATTTAGGAATCGTTTTGTTAACGGTTTCCGGAAAACCAAGTACCACCATTAGGGCTCATTCATATTTATGTCATTTTGTTTGGGTAATTAAACACAAAGCTCGTCATTTAAAGGTGCACTATCCTTCTCTGTTATCACTAACGAAGTCAAAGTCAGAATGACAATGAGTTTGGTGCTGTAATTTAATAGGTGGGTGCATTAGGGAGTCTCAGAGGCTTTGAGGCTTGAGATGTGGCTCAGGAAAACTGTACAGTGTAAGCAAAGGTGCCAAAGCCACAGCTGTGACTACAGGGCCAGCGAGGCACACAGGAAACATTTTCATCACATCCTTCAAGAGGCATCAGGCAGTAAGCAACTGGGCACTGCACTGTGTCATTGTTTTCTAACTTTCTATTTCGTGCCTTTAAAAATAATTGTTTCTGGGCAGGTCCAGTGGTGCAGCAGTTAAGTGCACATGTTCTGCTTCGGTGGCCCAGGGTTCGCTGGTTCGGATCCTGGGTGTGGACATGGCACTGCTTGGCACGCCATGCTGTGGTAGGCATCCCACATATAAAGTAGAGGAAGATGGGCACGGATGTTAGCTCAGGGCCAGCAAAAAGAGGATTGGCAGCCGATGTTAGCTCAGGGCTGTTCTTCCTCCAAAAAATAAATAAATAATAACAAAAAAATAATAATTGTTTCTTTTTGTGTGTGTGAGAGGAAAACTCACCCTGAGCTAACACCTGTGCCAGTCTTCCTCTATCTTCTTTTTTGTATCTGGGATGCCTCCACAGCATGGCTGATGAGTGGAGCAGGTCAGCACCTGGGATCTGAACCTGTGACCCAGGACACCGAAGCAGAGCATGTGGAACTTTAACCACTTGGCCATGGGGCCAGCCCTCTTTTTAAAATTATTTTTTTTTGCTTGAGGAAGACTGTCCCTGAGCTAACATCTGTGCCAATCTTCCTCTATTTTGTATGTGGGATGCTGCCACAGCATGGCTTGATGAGCGGTGTGTAGGTCTGCACCCAGGATCTGAACTGGCAAACCCTGGGCCGCTGAAGCAGAGCACGCAAATTTAACCACTAAGCCACTGGGCTGGCCTCCTAATTGTTTCTTTTCTGACTTGTACTTCCCTATCTCTAACTTGGCTGGCAAGTTAGCTGTGACTGATTATTTATTATAGGTCATGCAACGGACTTCCACACTTCTAACAGTTCTTAAAGAGTCCTTCACAGTTGAAGGCTTAAGGAGCCCCAGGATTAAGGATCAGCAAATGTACCTTTTCTAGCTCTTTGTTCAGTTCTTTTACTGGCCCCAAAATTGCCCATCTCTGTAATTAGATAAAAAGATCAGCTCTCCTAGTTAGAGAAGTATGGCCAAGACAGTGCAAGCCTGAGTGAGCCTTCCCACCTCTCCATGCTTTGGTCAACAGACATCTCTGAGGCTAAATGGCAGGAAAGTGTTTTGTTCTGAAGAAGAGGAGGAGCCACATGAACCTCTACCAACAAGGGGGTAGGTGGTGATGCTGTCCACACAACGTGGTTGTCTTAGCTCTTGCATCCCAGCTCCTGCACACCCCACGTACAGATGGATACACCTGGACTCCTAACCACTGCCACCTGAACTCTGACGTTTCCATTTCCATCACTGGTCATTTAGACTTCTGCTCTATGGCTTGAAGACTTCTGAACATGCCCCTACTTAGGAAGATTCGAGGGTAGGAAAAAATAAAACAATGAATGCTTCCTGGGTTTCAGAATGGAAAAAAAAGTTAGATTTACCCAAGAAACCCAAAGCTTTTAGTTTAGGAGAATATTTAATACTCTTATTAATCATTTTTAATCCGTTTGCTTTTAATTAAGAAACAGCATGATGCTTTCCTATCAACATATGCCAGGGAGCAGATTAATTGTGGCTTAAGATAACTCTCCTTGATTGGTGTAATGTATTAGCTAACGAGATGCCTGCTTCTAACGATGCTCAAGACACTACACTTGAAAGCCAACTACCCTCTAGAGAAAACTCTTCTGCCTTCTCCTCCTGCAGCCACAGAATATGCTAGGTGTTTAAATTAAACGTTAAAAAATTTCCCAGACAGGATTAGAGCAACGCATTCCAAGTTTCAGAGTTGTTGCTCTACAGATTTGCCGGTCACTCAAAGGACAACTGGATGACAACCACCAAGCCCAACCCCAATAAAGTTCAGACCACAGCACGGAGGACATGAAGGCAAAGGGGTGCAAATCCTAGTCAACTGCATTTTTAGCAAGAATCAACGAACTTCAGCACTCACAGTGCCACAGGTTTTTCTCACTAGACCTGGGAGGGTTTAATACACTGCAGTGAGCTGACATCCTCCACCTAGGAAGAGCAAGGCTCCCTTCCGCTGGGTTAGCGTATAACAGTTCCTTGTCAAGACTCAGCATTCCAGCCGTTCAGAAGGAAGAGCCAACGCTATTCCCAGGAAAAAAAAGCCATTATCACTTCCCTCCTTAAAATTATGAAAAGGCAGCTGATTAATGTTCCAGTGTGGATTTTAAGTAAGTGTGAAATGCTGGGCTGTGAACCTCATGACAGGCCAGGGCCCATATGTCACTTGCCTGATGCTCATCCCAATCAGAACATTTTAGTATCAGTAAAGTAGTGATAATTAAACATCACAACAGTAGCCTTACAATAAGTTCAGCAGATACTTTCTCTCTCTCTGCATCACAGATAAGTATCTCTGACACTACTCAGCCTCACTAATTGTATGTAGTAATTAGTCTATCTTACAAAATCTAAATGACCTGTTTGGAAAGTTTCATTTCTAATGTATCAGATGGCGCTTAAGCCCTCCTCACTCAATGGTACAGGGAAGTGACCAGGACAGAGTCTGATGGATGTGAGCCCTGATTACCATGCCCTACAGATAACTCACCTTGTGAGCTGCCTTGAGATACCTCTAGCAATGTGATTTTTTTCTAAGGCTTTGGGGTACAGTAGCAAACAGCCATATGGGCTGGGGTGGCCCGCTGGACCCCCATCTCCTCAGAGCCACTCTAGCCTCAGCCCCAGGCCTACCCGGAGCCAAGCAATACTTTCCAGGTTCAGCCTCACCCTCTCCCTCCCTGGCCTTAAATCAGAAGTTTGGTGGATGAGACTTGTCCACAGGTAACTTGAGGCCAGGCTCTGGGGACAGTGGAAATCAAACGACCATACTGACGGTGCTTTTTCCTCTATCTTCCTCACAAGGGCCTCCAGTGACCACTCATCTCACTTGGAAATCCAGAATAAGAGTGAATGGGTAACTATAAGAGTGTATTCTGGCATCCTAGGTTGAGGATAAATTAGAGCAAGCCAAATCCAAGAATTTACTATGCTCATAGAACCAACACCCCTCCCGCCAAGACCATTAAGTTACACAGGTTTAACTCTCAGGCTCTGTTATGTTGTTATTTTTACCCTCTAATATGCTGTGCTGAGGCAGGAGGAGGAAACTGGCATACTTTGAGTGTCTGCTAAGTGCCAGACACCGTGCTCCATACTTTACTTATGTCATTTAAAACTCAACCCTGTGAAATAAATATCATCCCCATTTTTTTTTTTTTTGAGGAATATCTGCTGCCAATCCTCCTCTTTTGTGCCTAGGAAGACTGGCCATGAGCTGACATTCGTGTCCATCTTCCTCTACTTTATATGTGGGATGCTTGCGACAGCATAGCTTGACAAGTGGTGCACAGGTCCGCACCTGGGATCTGAACTGGTGAACCCCAGGCTGCCGAAGTGGAATGTGCGAACTTAACTGCTGCACCACCGGGCCAGCCCAATATCATCCTCATTTCACACATCAGGAAATGGAGGCTTAAATACTATGTCCATGCCAGTAAATGGCAAAGCTGGGATCCAAAAAGTTTGTGAGATTTCAAAACCCATGTTCTTTTCATTGCTCCATACAGAATTCTAATCTCAATTTCTACTGCTGGGGCTTAGGAGAAAAAATTAGTCTGTTTGAAAAACCATACACATCAAACTGTGGATCTAAGAATCAAGAGAGAAAACATGCCCATGAAATGACCCAGTTTAAACCTAAGTTCTTGTTATTTTTTTCAGGGAGCTGGAGTGATGCTTTTCTTCTGCCTGCAGTGAAACTATGAACTATAAACCCTGCTATTTCCTACAATAGGACTGTCTCAGGGGACTCAAACAGAATCCCATAACTCATGGTAACAGATTCCTCCAGGGGAAATAAAAGAATTACACTGCTCAGTTATATAACATCACTGTGTCTTCAAATTTTCTGTCCCAGAATCTCTTTTTTCAGGATTAAGATTAAAAAAACAAATTCTCTGGGAAAAAAGAACACACAGCACAGCTGATAGCTGCCTCTCACTGAACGTTTTTGCCTACAGTAACCACAATACGGAGTAGAGGGTCACTTCTTGGTGCAAAGCCAGGGTCTAGACTCAGCCAGCCTCTGTACTTGAGAGACACAGCACACAGTATCTAGCACTGCTTGAAGGACCAAAAACAGCGACGATCTTCAGACATTCCCAAACATACAGCAGATTCCTTGTCAGCCCTTCAGAGGTGGCACGGAGGGCTTTGAACACTGCAACACTTCCTTCTCTCAAGGGTGCTGCTGATTTTATCCTCCACCCCACACTAAACGAGGTCCTGCTGAGCCTGCAGAACATGGAAAGAGGTTTCAAAGCCACATCGTAGGATCACCCGCCCTCCCTTTCTCTCCTCGGCAGTCCTGCTGGACTAAAAGCTCAGGAGAATGCCACCTTTTATAGATGGGGGCAAGGGAAACAGCCTCAGTTCTTGGGCATAGTTGGTTCCCAATAACGCAGGCAGCCTCCTCCTGAGCTATGGGGCTGGGGTTGTCTTCCGCATTTGATTTCCAGCCAGGAGTCTGTGCACATACAGTCAACCGTTCTCTCCATTGATAAGACATGGCAATGACCTATTTCTCCAGACACACTGGCACCCCAGAGCAGGATGCTAAGGAGCAACTGAAGGGACTATCCACTCACTTCATGTTTGGAGGGAAGCTATTCCTTCTCCTCATCCTTGTGCCTACTGAGGCCCTGCAAGACCATTAGTGACTAATGTGGTAGAAAGGCAGTGCAGGCCTCTTCTGGCCACACAGACACACACACTCCATTTACCCTAGCCGGCCACTCTTAACTGGAGAACAACCTCTTATTTTACACTTGCGTGACTTTCAATGCCAACTTCCACTAGAACCTGCCAGTAGCCACTGACAGAATTGTCTCACTCAATTATGATGCCAAATACTGACCTTAACCTGAACCAAATGGTGCATAAGTCTACGCTCCCCAACTGCACACCTGAAATATTTATCCAACAGAGCTTTTCAGTCGTAAAGAAATGGGTAGACTTAACACAAAAGTGAATCTTAGAAGCATCCTGATTCACTGACTTTAAAATTGATGGTAAATCTTCGCGTTCCTTCCTGAGAACAGTCAGCAGAGACTTCAGGCAACAGTTCCCAGGAAGAGGCTAGAGTGCCTGCCATCCAGCCCTCCCTCAATACTCTAACCTAGTCACCAAATGTTTTTGATCACAGAGCCATCAGGAAAAGAGACAAATATATTTCCAGCACATACTATCAATATTCTGTAAGATGTATATATGACATATGTGATTTACTTTTAATCCATATACCAGCTACTAATAAAGGTTAATTTCTTTCTTTTTCTTAGGACAAATAAACAGAAATAAAAGTTCTAGCCTTTCTTTCCTATGCTTCTGTGGACTGTCTTGTGCAGCCCACAATTCCAGGGTCAAATGCTGGTGCTCATGTTGGTGTCTGGTTGTCCTGGCCTCAGACCCACCCCATCCTGAGCTCTGGGGCGACGGCACCAGGGACACCATCTCAGCGGGGTCACTGCTCCAAGGCATGTGCCATCTCTGTGAGATCACCTCAAGAAGATGCCAGATTCATAGTTCCCTGCAGGCAGGGTGGACACTTCCTTCCAGCTCAGATTTGAAATCAGATGATCTTTAGCTGTGGTTATAGCACCTACTGCCTAAATTACTATCACCTCCTATTAGGCTTTTTGCTCCTGCCTCCTTCACTTCCACCCTCCACACAATCTCCTGAGTGGTCTTTCTAACAATACAAATCAGAGCAGGTCACCCTGCTGCTAAGTTTCCACAGACCTCAGGACCAAGTCCAAACCCCTCAACACAGCTCCCACGGCCATGCACAATCCCAATCTCCGAGCCATCCGGAAATATCTGCTGTACCTTAGATGCACAACATTCTTGCTATCAGGCCTTGCAACATGCTGTTCCTTCTGCCTAGAACATTCCTCCCACAGCCCCTTCCAACCTTTTCCTCTGGTTCATTCCTACTTCGTTTTCAAGTCTCTGCTGAGACATCACTTCTAGAAGTCTTCCCAGACTCTCCTCCCCCTTCCCAAACAGTGGGTCAGGTGTCCTTTCTCTGTGCTCTATGACTTCCTGGGCTTGCCCTATTTAACATCAGCCTCACCATTGTATGTGTGACCTCTTGGTCAATCTCTCCCCCTCTAGATGGTGAGCTCTGTATGGACAGGAACAACGTGTGCCTCTGTCCCTGCCATGTCCCCAGGGCCTAATGCTGTGTCTGATATGTAGTAAGTATTAAAAAAAGTTTGCTGAATGAATGAGCTGCAAAAAATGCCCTACCACCTCTTCTAGTAAGCCATCATGACGTGCTACGGTGAGGGGAGGAAACAGGGCTTAGGCCTTATGCTTCCCTTCTACTCCTGCCCTTAGAGGCCTGGGGACTCTTGGACAACAAGCCTTGCAGTCCTCAAGTGGGGGTGAGGAGCACAGCATAAAGGCTCCTCTGAGGGCACCCACCTACCTTCACTGTCCCTTCCACTTCCACAAACCAGCGCCTTAACATGGCCTGGATCTGGCCATCAGTCAGCTCAGGGTTGGCATTGTGGATTTTCTTCTTGACCAGGTCCTCCAACAGGAGACGCCTCAGCCGCCAGTAGAAGAAGGTACGGGATGTTTTCCAATCCAGGATGTCCTACATACAGACAAGAATAAACTTAGTCACTCCCCAGCCCTAATCCCCACTTAGTGCCCAGTCCAGAGGGGACTCTACAGGCACAAAAACCCACTCTCCAGTAAGCCTCTCAGAGACTTGAGCTGGCTGCGAGCTCCCAGCCCCTGGAGATGTCTCCCCAGTTCAGAAAGCAGCCCCGACATTCTGCTGACCACAGCACTGTGCACAGGGCTGGGCCAGGCTAAGGCTAACCCCACCCATGGCTGAAATGTTCTGGGGAAGGGGCTGTGACTTCCCAGGTAACCAGAGAGTGAGCAATTGGATCTGAGCAGATGGCTAAAATACCTTGCATGCAGATCAAACAGTGCAGTGAATTAGTTGCTGCAGGAACCTTGACACTAGTAATCCCCACAGCCTGAGGACCACCTGGGCAGCTGTCCCCAATGGAGGCACATGTGACTCAGTTTCCCACCAGTAAAATGGAGCTTGCCTCCTGAGAAGTCCATGGTAACCTAAATCCTAAGTTGTTTTAGGATGATGATGGATATAGAAAAAGGGAAAAGTCTCTCCAAAAAAATTAAAAATGGTTTAAACAGCACAACGGTTCTAATCCAGCCCTAACAGCTCCCTGCTTGTGAGCCTGTGTGCACGAGACATACACTTGCTCACTTGAGGGTCTCTGACAAGTCAGGAGAAGTGGCAACCACTGTACTTACATTAATAATACCCTTCTCCTGCATCCGGCCTGGTGTGTCGTGCAAGTCAGCAAACTGCACAGCTACCTGATGGTAAATGGGAATCAGGAATTCCTCTCGCTCCTTCAACTTGTTCTCCAGCTCCTTCCGCTCAGCTGCACTTAGCTCTGGGGTGCCTGCAATTAAATAAACCTGCCTGTCACACCTGCCTTGTGGTGACCAGGAATCTCTCTGCCCAGAAGCAGCTCCCTCCCTCTGTGACCTCATTCTCCATTGTCTTCGCCACCTCTTTGCTGAGTAACTGGATTCCATGAGATGCCAGACCTGTCCTTACCTTGCCATGGGGAGCCAACGTGTCCTCCTCCTTTCCCTGTGGAGATCACAATTATGAAAGCAGCCACGGGAGTGAGTCCCTTTCCCCAGGCCTCTCCCTGAGCAGGTGCAAACAACCACCTGGGGCCTGTGTCTCTCATCATCTCACTGACTGACAGCCAGGCCTCGCCTTTCCCATGAAGGACACCATGACCATGCCCTGCTGACCAGCATCAGAGCGACTGGAGTATTCCGAGTGTGGACATCCCCTACACTTCTGAGCACAAACCAACAGCTCTTCTTTCCTCGTGTCCACACCAGTCACCCGCCCAACTTGATAAGGATCCAAATGACTCCTAAAGTTGTAAACTGCTTTAGTCCACAGATTCTAATCTCAGCTTTGGATACTCTTAACCTGAAACTAATAGAATCCAATCTAATTAGAGCCAGATCTGTGTGTCTTATGCCAGCTCAGTGGATTAGCCAGCCCCTAATCTCCTACCTGGGCAGCTTCTGCCAGAACCAACCCCTGACCACAGTGACAAAGACATTCTAGTTCTTGGGCTAAAAGAAAAGAAAGAGGAGAAAAGAAAAAGGCAGTTCACAAAGCCCATTTGGATTACTGAGCTTAGAAAGCACACAGTATCCTCACTCAACAGATAGGAGACTTTGAAATTCCTTATAACAAGGAGGACCACTTCTCCAACCCCAATCTACAGTGTCCCAGTACAGATGCTGCTACGTTGTGCTTTTTTTCCTAATTACTCTCAGAATGGAACTTGCAATTAATACTGAAAATTTAGCTGCCTGCCTAGTAAGGAGGAGTAAGTCTAAATGAAGGAGCAATAGGTGATAGCCCCTGGTGCTGGGGACAATCTGAAGTGCTTTGTCACCAAAGCTGACAAATAAATACATGACCACAGGTGATGGGATGCAGAAGAGAAAGGTCTATTTCAAGCATGTCTGTCTGGGAACAGGCCTTGCTTTTTATGTCACTATGAATCATATGCCATGAACAGTCTCGGGCTGCTGAGTGGGCCATAAGTATTATACATAAACACATGTTAATAGAACAGGGATGTAACTAGAGTATCTAGTTTCATTTTTATGAGGGTTTTGGACACCCAACTCCACCTCTTTTTTTATTTTTATTTTTTTAAACTCATAATTACTTTAAAACTGTTGAAGAATGCTGAAGGCCATCTTTTCTTGGGCTTTCACAAAGAGGGCAATCACTAACCTATTGCTTTAGGCCCCTGACACCTCAGCAGACTTCTTTCCAAACCAGGGAAATAGCATGGCAGCACTGGGCCTCACAGTGTGGGGTAAGATGAAGGCCCATTCACTCTAGTGTGGATCTGCTTGGACTTATGGGAGGAGGGCCGACTTGTCTCCTCTGAAATGAGATGTCTCAGTTATAACATCCTTGACAAGGAAGCACACATTTTTTCCTTCTCTACTAAAAGGAACCAAGACTCCTTGGAGAAATGGTTGATTCCAGGGCTGAGGCAGGAAAAATATAAGATGAGCCTGGAATGTATTGTCACCAAAAGCAAGGAAGCACTCAAAAAATGATTGGGACATGTTAAAAGGACACAGGACCAGTTTGGGACAATTAAACCCAACCACTGGCCAAATCAGGGACAATTTGAACATCAAATTTATCAAAATAGGATAATGATATTTATTATCAGAGACAATATTTATGGAATAAAGTAAGAAAATGTGAATCCACCCTGATATAAATAATTAAAGGAGGGAGAAGGGAAGGGAAAGCTCTCCCTTCTAGCAGATAACGATTAACAGACGTAGAAGGAATGATGGAATTAGAAAAATCATCATTTTACCACCATCACAGTAACTGATTCTGCCAAGAATTATCAACGGATACTAAAACTAGTGGATGAAAGTTGATGAGGAACAAGATATTTACATAGTCTAAAAGTATCTCCTTACAAATTACTTATTAATTACAAAGGGAAAAATGGTAACTTTACTGAGGATTAACCTACTGAACAAAACCTTAAATAAGTAATCAAAGTTACCATCACCAAGAAAATGACAAACTGACACCATGTGCCTCCTCAGATGATGTCCTGAGAAGGACATACATCACTTTTGCAATATTCCTGTCAAAAAGGCATAATCTGACTACAACCATGGGGAAACATAAGACAAATCCAAATTGAGGAACATGCTATAAAAAAGTGATTTGTACTCTTAAAAAACAAAGTAAGATCATGAAAGACAAGGAAAGGCCAAAGAATTATTCCAGATTAAAGAAGACTAAAAATACTTGACAACAAATTGCAACATGTGGTCTGGGATTAGATCTCAAATCTGCCGCCCCCCCCGACCCCCGCAAAAAGCTACAAAGGACATTATTGGGACAATTGGTAAAGTTTTAATATGAATCATGGATTAGACAGTGTTCTATCAATGTTATAGTTCCCGATTTTGATAAACGTATTGTTGTTATATAAGAGAAAGACTGTTCTTAGAAACATACACTAAGTATTTATAGTTAAAGGAATATGATGTCCACAGATTACTCTCAAATGGTTCCAAGAAAATGTGTATGCATGTGGAGCAAGAGAGTGAGCTAGCACATGCACATAAGCATGCAGAAGTGATAAAGCAATTGGGACAAGATGTTAACAATGGATGAATCTGAGAAAAAGGCATCAAGTCCTCTGTACTATTCTTATATCTTTTCTGTGAAATTATATCAAACGGAAAGTTAAAAAAATAAGCCAAACTAAAACATATGTTTTTCTTGGCTCCCCAGTGCATATAATCAGTAATCAAAGCTGATAATTCACAGGGCGCTGGGCATTATTCTAAGTGCTTTATAGCTATTACCTGGTTTAATCCGTTCAACAACTTTATGAGGGTGGTATTCTTTTTTTTTTGAGGAAGATTGGCCCTGAGTTAACATCTGTTGCCAATCTCCTTTTTCTTCTTTTTTCTCCCCAAAGCCCGAGTACATAGTTGTATATCCTAGTTGCAAGTCACCCCAGTTCTTTGATGTGGGATGCTGCCACAGTACGGCTTGACGAGTGGTGTGTAGGTCCACATCCAGGAGCCAAACTGGTCGACCCCAGGCTGCTGAAGCAGAGCACATGAACTTAACCACTTGGCCATGAGGCCAGCCCCAAGGTTGGCTTATTATTCTTATCCTCATCTTACAGGTGAGGAAACTGAGGCACTGAGAATTTATATAACTTACCAAGGTCACAAAGCTAGAAAGGGGCAGAGCCGGGACTCAAGTGCAAGAGCGTGACTCCCAAACACTGTTACATTGTCTTTCCCTGCTTAAGTGGGGCAGAGGACAAGTGCTTCAGCAGCAGGATCCCTTTAATTTCAGAAAAGGCTTAATGATGATGGCAGACTCCTGGCTGATAAAGCTGAAGTTCCACCTTAGGCCCATTCCACAACTGAGACTAAGACGATGTCTCTAATAATTCTCATTCTGTAGGTCAGACCCGAGATTTAAGGTAGCTCCTCCTGTTATTGTGAGATCAAGAACTAACACAACAGTAGGTGGAATCACAGCCCTGCTGAGGGGCAAGAGATGGCAAGACCATGGATATGGCTAATAGGGAGTTCCAGACCCTTCCAACATTCTCCCTCTGGGAAAACAACCAACATTGGGCAGGTACACACACATATAGATATGTGCACTATATACCATTTATTGGGCATTTACTACGTGCCGGGAACCACACTCAATGCTTTCAGGATCACAGAGCTCCTAAGTCACCAAGCACAATTCAGACTTAGGTCAGCTATTAACACCGCTACCAAGCTGAATACCTCCATGTTACTGAGCTTTTTCCAAATTGCTTTACATACATCATCTCTAATCCTTATAAGACCCAACCTTACAGGCAGGGTATCTATTTTACAAATGAGAAAACCAAGCATCTAAAATGTAAAGTGACTTGCCAAATGGCATCCAGCTCTTAAGTAGCAAAGTCAGGATTTACACTTGGGTCTGGCTGTCTCCAAAGCCTGTGTTCTTCCACAGTAAATGGTAGTGAAGGCAGCCAAGCAGGTATCCTGGCAGTGGCCAGCAAAGGGCAATCAGCTGGAGAGTTGGGCCATTGTGTTAGAGAGGAGTCAAGAGCACAGCTCAGCACTGGGTACAGGGTGTGGGGAGCAGGGATGGGATGGGACGGACTTACGGGCTTAGCAGAGCACTCTGTGAACAAGCCCTTACCAAGTGGGACAGACAGAGGAGGCTGGCTCCTGGACTAACAAAGGTCTTGTCTACCCAGTTAAGCTATTCTAGAGCTTTGAAAGAATAACACAATAAATACCTGTAATGCCCTGGCCCTCCTGAGACTAGGAAGATCACAAAGCATTCCTCCAAAGGCCACCTTGTTTGATTTGTTCAGTAATGCCTCTGATTGCAGTTCAAGAATTACCTCAAAAAAGTGTCAAAGCAAGGAAAAACACGAAGTAGAGAATGTATGTATTTTATTTATTTTTTTGCTGAGGAAGATTCACTCTGAGCCAATATCAGTGCCAATCTTCCTCTATTTTGTATGTGGGTTGCTGCCATGGCATGGCTGCTGACAAGTGGTGTAGGTCTGCACCCAGGAACCGAACCAGGGCTGCTGAGGCAGACTGCACCGAACTTAACCACTAGGCCATGGGGCCCCGAGAATGTATTTATTTTAAAGTGCACATGAGAAAGCCAAGAATTTGTGTGCTTTGTTTTTTTGTTTTGTTTTTTTTCTTAAAGATTTTATTTTTTTCTTTTTTCTCCCCAAAGCCCGCCAGTACACAGTTGTATATTCTTAGCTGTGGGTCCTTCTAGTTGTGGCATGTGGGATGCCACCTCAGCATGGCTTGATGAGTGGTGTCATGTTTGCGCCCAGGATTTGAACTGGCGAAACCCTGGGCTGCCGCAGCAGAGCACACGAACTTAACCACTCGGCCACGGGGCAGCCCCGTGTACTTTGTTTTAAGGAAGGGAAAGAAAAGGGTTTTCTAAATTTTATTTTCTAAAAATAAAAGGCTGCTCTTAAGCTAGTTAGACCCTTCTGTAGC